ACCTGGTAAGGTCATGGCAGCTGCCAGCCAAATCCTCTTCCTGTTATCAAATGAAAGGGGTGGGGGCTATTTCCAAAGGAAGGCACTTTAAGAGCAGCAGCTGTCTCTTCCTTTGGTATATCCTAAGAAGCTGTTCCATAATTCTGCTTTTAGTGGAATGGAATTTTAGGCCTATTTTGTCATAGGAGATGTCTGGTGAAAGGAAAGACCAGTGGGCTGGAGGCAAAAGGAAGCCTATACTTCATCCAAATTCTGCCTCTTCCTAGGAAAAATGATCCATCCACTGTCACCTATTGAGGAAACGCCTACAGTTACAGTTCTGACTGGGCCACCCTGTCAGAAAGCTGCTCTTGAAATAAATATTTAAGTGGTGTTGGATAAGGGTTGGGGAGATAAGAACTCTCAAGGTCTATTACTTATCATAGCAAATCTCCACATGGTTACATATAAACTATTTTGAATATGTGAGTTGGAAAGGAAGGATGATTCTCCTTTGCAAAGCAAAATCAAATGCCTCTTCTGGAGCCCAGTTTCACTCAGTGGTGGCGGGAGGAACTACTTCTTCACTTCTGCATGCCTGACCATTTCCTCACCCTCCAGAGGACAGCTGAGAAAGAAAGAAGATGCAACAGCCCACATGGCAGTCCTTGCTTTCTGGTTCCCAACTTTGCTGAATTATGCCTTTTCTTTTTCTTCCGTTGGTCAGTTGATGTAAAGAGAAGATCAAATTGCAGGATCCACAGAAGATCCCAGTCACCTTTCCAGCTCCATACCTACAGAAGTGCCAATCAGCTCTGGGCTAGCTTTCAGCCTCAGAGCTGAGAGGGCATCCACTAAAACCCATGAGCAAGCCTTGTCCTACCTCCCCTTCCCCTGCCACAGATGCTGGACACATTGGTGGAAGTCAGCTCTCAGCCCCTGGCCTCACCCACTGGGACAGACCTGCATACTGGGACAAGAGTCTCCCACTTAAAAAGCCTCCCAAGGTAATGACTTCAGCGTCTGTTTTTGGAGATCCTTTAAGAGGGAATGGGCAAATCTCTCACTCTTTTCCTCTCCTCCCCATTTTGTTTGGGGCCAAGTTGGGTACACACCTATGAGCAGGCCTCCAGTGTTTTGTCTATTAAGGACTTTAACTGAAGGCTTAATATGTTTTTAAGACTGAAGGAGCCAGCGACAATTCTTAAACAGCCATGTTTACATTGGACAAGTTTGCTCAGGAAACATGCTAGTAGTTTTGCACACTGCAGGAAGTGGAGGTGAAAGAAGGAAGAGGGGAGAACTAGCCTGGAGGGCAGGAAAGCAAAGAAGGGCGTGATGGAAAGAAGGATGGAGACACACCCGGTTAAACTTGACAATGCACATAGAAGTACCATCATTTAATGCTCCTTGGGCATTGTTAGGAGTGAAAAGCAGAGCCCGTCCATTGGCACATGTACAGTTGAGAGTGAGCATGCTCTTAGATCTCTTTGACCCAGCCCTTTCCAATTTTGTACAAATGGCTCCTGACATCAAGAGGTTTTGCAGAACCTAATAGGCTTCGGTTCACCTCAGTAACCTCTGGTTGGGAGCTTGACCCTTCTGGGTCTCAGTTCCCTTACCTAAAAAATGAAAAAGAGCTCCAAGATTAAATTTCTATAGCTCTAGAGTGAAATGTCACTGACTATTCATCCATGTTCAGGAGAGATTCGATTACATAAGAGGATTTTTCATCTGTTAGGTAAGAATAAAGACAAGAACATTGGGCATTGTCCCAGATTATCAAGGCTGAGCTGCTGGCTTGCACTCAACTCAGTGAAACTCAGTTGTTCTTTGAATGGGACAGTCATAAACAAAAGCACATCTTTATTCATCAAAAGACCTCTTTCAGCATCTGCATACCCACTAAAATATACCATCACTGCCAAGAACAATAGTGGCTAAATTTAAGTGAATGCACATGAGCTGACCCTTTTATATACATCACCTCACTTACTTGTCACAGCCATTTTGGGAAGTAGATGCTACTACTGTCTCCTCCACTTTTTGATGAGGTGAGGATACCAACTGAGAAGTTAATTCACTTTCCAAGAGCACACATTTAGTAAGAGCTGGAGCTGGGATTTGAACCCAGATCTGAGGCCAAAGCCTATACTAGTTACCAGCATTCTTAAGAAACAATTAGAAGAACAAACTCATAATGGCAGTTGGTTCCACCAAGAGAAATGGCATTTATCCTTCAAGGCCCTTTGTTACCAAGGAACACAGGCAATATCATCATGCTCAGGGAACTCTCTGTGCTAGGGAACCTTCTCTTTCCCAGTAAAAAAGCAAATGATGGTTCAAGAGCAGCCACTGGGAGTATTTAACTCACCATAGGTGAGGGAAGCCAGGGAACTGATGCCCAGCTCTCCCTCCATGTCTGTGGGGCCGACAATGAGTTCCTCAGCCTGACTGGGCTCAGTTGGATCTCTCAGGCCACTCCAGTTTTGGATTTTATGTTCTTTCTTGAAGACCTTCTTATGACTATCCAGCTGCTGGGGATTCCTGTCCCGCCTCCTTTGGGGGCAGAGCAGTGGAGACAGTGCGTATACCATTTTAAACTATTTCTCATTTTGTAAATTGGTCCCTTACAGCTTGGAGAGTCTATGAAATTGCTTCAAAATGTCTAAGTGTGATTTTGCCTCCTGAAGCCAAATATTATTTAAAAAATCTGTTGCTGATCTTATAAGTAAATACACAATAAAATCTTTTCAGCATGCTGTTGATAAGACACAGTGTTTAATCATTACTGTACCATTCAGCTAGGCAAACTTCTCCTTGACTCCCATCCCTTCTCTTAACTTTTTGGGTTGGAGATATTGGCTAATCCACACAGGGGTAATCGTGTACCTGATTGTTAAAATCCCAAGAGGCCAAAAATATTCACCCTTTTATCTCTACCCACCATATTCTTTTACTAAGCCTGTAATTGGATCTAAATGGAAAATAAACTGCAGACCAAGAAAGTTGACACTAGAGAGTGACAAGAAGGAGAACATGCTCCATCTCTAATCTGGATAATCACGTTCTCCTGTGCAAAGGAAAATAAAACAAAGCTTCCTTCAAGCAGTGGCCCTGCCTTTAGTGCCTTTAGTGCCCTTTAGTGCCTTACTTAGTATGGTAACTGTCAACCAGCTTATAGTCAAAACACCCAGAAATCATTGTACTTCCCAGAGAACAACAAAACCCGTTCACTTAGCCCCAAATTCTTCTAATCAAGTGAACTTGGGGAGGTAGTTCAAACACATATCATTGTGCTACAAGGTAAATAATAGTGCATACAATGTACCATAGAAACATTAAGGTTTTAGCTGGCCAGATATTTTCATTGTTTCATAGTTTTTTGAGTCCTGCCACGTGTGGCATGGAATGCAGAGATGGACAAGAAAGGTTTCCCTCCAGAACTTCAGAAAAATGTATAGAAATAAGAGCAGTACAGGGCCCAGAATTTAGCTCAGTGGTTCCGCCACCTGCCTCAAAAGCACAAGGACTCGCGTTCGATCTCCGCAAAAGAAAGAAAGAAAGAAAGAAAGAAAGAAAGAAAGAAAGAAAGAAAGAAAGAAAGAAAGAAAGAAAGAAAGGAAGAGCAGTACATGTGTAACTCACTACTGGGTAAAAATTAATAGGTATCTTCCAAAAGTCTAAACTCTTATGGGAAATCCACAGAAGGAGAGATGACTTGATTCTGCAAATAGTCTGGCAAAGGCAGCGGGACATGGTGCATTCCAGAGAGATGCCCAGATTAACCCTGACTTGGCGTACACACGAAAAAGGGTTTGCTGGACTATGTGGGGGGTCTGGGGAAGGTCATCTGTAAAGGGCACAATTCTAAGTTAGATGTTGAATGTCATGCCTCTAAGTAGCTGGCTTGCATTCTTATTTTGATGCTGCTAGTCTTTTTTTCTTTTTCTCTCATTTACTTCACAGGTAATGTTTAATGTTTAAGGAGGACTTTGCCCTGCAAGACTAAATGCTCTGAATCCAGAGCTTAATAATTACTGCTTTGGGAGATTAATTCACAGCATCACCTTTTGTTATGGCTTCTGTGAAGGAGGTGGGGTCTATCATCTCTACATTAGAGTCAGAGTAACTGAGGCTCAGAAGAGACTTGGTCAATACTATGTAGCTAAAAAGGACCAGGGCTAGAATATGTACAGCATTTTTGCCTACTGAAACCAGCTCTCTGTGGCCCTCTAGTAACTCCAGTTCTCCATTTGCCCAACCTAGGCAGTAGTGGTGAACCATTTTTGATCTTTCAATGATACAAATAGCCCGCTGCCACACGGGTGCCATAGGTTTGCCACCACTGACAGGCTGTCTTTCTGTTCTCTCCCTGTTCTCCTGTCTTCCCGGTCTCCAGCCTGAACTCTCCCCCAAGTGCACTCAGTTAGGCAAACAGTGGGTGTTGGCACCACAGGCACAGCTGTAGGCCCTTCCTGCAGTAGTTTACCAGGGACCTTCTAGGCTCCAAGCCAGCCCTTCTGAAAAAAGGAGCAGACAGACCCTGGAGACAAAAATTAGTTGCCTGTGTTAAAATTGCTACCACTGCCGAGAGCACTAGCTAAGAAACTGTATGCTGTGTGTTGGGGGGACCCACAAAACCCTGGGATGACAGCAAAAGGGGGGGACTCCCTGTGAATAAATATTACGTGTGCCCCCCATCTTCACATAACCATCCCAGAGGGTTCAGGGAACCCAGAAACTAAGGCTTTTCCCCTAGGGACCCTAAGAGTACCCTCTCCCCAGGGAGTTTTACCTTAATTCAATTCTAATTAACATCATCCAAGAACTAAGACCCTTCGCATAGCTTTACATTGCAATGGCTTAAACAAGAGTGAATTTGGGGTGTGCGCCTGTCAGCTCAAACTTGTATTTGGAATTTAATTGCCCATTGCCTCTAGGTACAGTAAGTATCTACCCACAGATGGAGAAGGGAGCAGGGAGCATCGGTGAGTAAAGGCAGGCAAATCTCCGCTCACCTTCTGCACTCGTGGGTTGAGGTCCTTTGCTACCTTTGCCATCTTCCTCTGCGGAGGCGACACCAAGCCTGACTTGTCCAGAGAGGCGCGAGGGCGCGCGGCCGGGCGCGCTGAGTCTGAATGACCAGGTTCGCACGCCCAGCGGGGAGCTCTGGCGCAGCCCAGCGCGCCGCGGTGCTTTAATTGGAGAGCCGGACTCCCTCTAAAACCGCGCCAGCCAATCGGCGCCGGCGCTCTAGCGTGGCCCGCCAATGCCAGCTCGAGGCCGCGCCCCGCCCTCCTAGTGCCCCCGCCTAGTGGAGCAGAGCCCTGACGTCAGCCCGGAGCTCCCCGGCCCACGCCGGCGGCCCCTGCTGTCCCTCCTGTCCCCGGCGCGGAATCCGTCCCCACGCCCTTCTCCTTTAAAGGACAGCGCGCCGAGGGGGGCGGGCGACAGCCGGCGGTCCGTTCAGGTCAGGAGGGAAAGGGATCAAACAGGAGGGCCGAGGTATTTTTAGTGAGCTGGGTCCAAAAATAAATTCTGAGCCTGTCTCCCTTCCCGCCCTTTCCTCCTGCTCGCTGGGTGGCGGGAGACAGGTGGGTAGCGGAGGTCTTTCCCCAAACCTGGGTGAGAAGAGATGAGGGTCAAGTGAGTTGTGACGTTGTCTTTAAACTGAGCACTTCCTTTCTGCTGTTCGCAGTGCAGCCTCACAACCACCTCATCTGAACACGAGGAGGACCAGCGGACTCCTTACCTGGGGAGAAGGGGCACGGGACTATAAATTAGTAACTCTAAACCAGGAAGTTGGTAATTTTTAGATAAATTGGGTCATGCGGCTCTGGACAAGCAAGATTCCCTGCAGGGAGACTGGAGAGTGGGCTCCAAGTATAGCACTTGGGATGGATCTGGTGGGGGTCAGGAACTGCACGTCACATTTCTGAGGCTTCTCTGTTACTGGAAGCTGCTCTTAATGCCTTCTCCAGTTTGGGTCCTAACCCATCATCTCCGGCCATCTGAAATCTTGACCAAGGATCCCAAATTATGATTCCTTTCTCACAATCTTGGAATGGGCTTTCCATTTGTGACTCACCTTTTCCAGGATGAGGGATGGCTGATTTCTTCCTTCCTGGATTTCTGTTGTAATTAATGTTTGTGTTGCTTGCTCCCAGCTATAGCCCCAGCACCTGGCAGGCAACAGAGGTTCAGTGACACATTTGTTGAATGAATGCAAGTCAGGTTCTGGCTTTTAATCAGCAGTGACCAGGCCAGGTGAGAGTTTGTCCAAACTTCCAGGGTGGGCTGCAGTTAAACCACTAGGTGATAAAGAATGGCTAACAGGAGCCTGACCTCCACATGAAGAGTCCTTTCAGTAGCAAATCCTAGGAACAATAGTACTCAGGAGGGATGTCCTGCTAGAGCCTTTATATGTTAGAGTGATGGGAACAGAAGCCAGGAGTGTAACAAAGGCAGGCTGTATCCCTCTGAATCTAGGCAGAAGCCTTCCTGATGAAGTCACTTCCCACTCCCTCCCTTGCCACCCTCCTAGCCCCATCTTGAGAAGCTGTTGTTCCATGGAATAATGCTAATTTTATTAACTTTAACGTCACTTAGCTCCAATCACAAAACTTCTTCCACCTTATTTTATCTTTGGCTCCAGGTGCAATGAAAGGAGGCAGAAGGTGTGGTTGTTTCTCAGAATGTGAGAATCAAGAACTACTGCTTGGAGTCACCAGTCTTGTCTTCTCTTTTCTAGCAAGGGCAGAGGTGGAATCCCTGTTGTCTTCTAAGCTTCTCCCATCAGAGCTGAGGGTGCTGTTTTGGATCCTCTAGACCCTATTCTTCACCCATATGTTCTGGAAATCCTGTAGCCCCAGACTTGCCTGGCCACCTGAGCAAACTTACAAACTTACAAATCAGGACTGATGGGGAAAACTGGGAAATGTAGTCAGTGCTCTTCAGCTTCACTCTAACTTTGAGGTCCTCTTTATTTTTCTTTGGAATAAAATAGGGGATCTTTTCCAGAATGAAACAGTACAGAGATCTAATTTTCCCCAGGTTCATTGCTTTGTGGTACAGGAACTTATTGGAAGCGTTCATTTTTCCATTTGGCAGTTTTGGGGCCCTTTTTTAAAGCCAAGCTTTGTGCTCAATGCCCAGAACACCCTTGTTAATAAAAGAATTCCTTTGGAGATTTCCTTGGTCTATGACTGACACTGGGGTTTTCTGATTGAAAGCTGTTATTGTACCTAAATTTCAAGACAACCACTCTTGGAGGAAACAAATTCTGAATAGTCAAAGGTTTTATCCAATCATGCAGCTCCTAAGTGGCAGAGACAAAATTGAAATTCAAAGTTTCTAATTCCAGATTGTGTCCTTCCAGTTGTCCCACACTGCTTTCCCTAATGACCATAGAAAATTAATCTTGAGGAAAAGTGAGCCCTTGGCATAAGACAACGTATCATTGTCATCATTATCACTGAGTTGGCTCTAAGTGGGATTTTTGAATGAATCACATGCTGTTTTGCCAATCATGAGTTAAACAAATAAACATGGGATTGGGAACTAAAGTGGGTTAGTCCTTGAGCTGAGGGTGCAATAGTCAATACACTGGAAAGTTCCCTACCCTCCCACAGTTTCTGTTCTGGTATTGGGGTAGAGGATTCAGCAGGTGACCAGATATCTAGACAAGGTATTAAGTGCCTAGGGGAGATACATGGAGTAGTCAATGGCTGTTGTCTCTTTAGATGGAGGAGTCAGCAGCATGGAGAGAAGACTCCAGGAGACTGGATCAGGAGAGAAAAGACCCTGAAATGGCACAGCATGGTATGCCTGAGGGGCGGTCAGGTAGTCATCCCTGAGGAGACTTTCGGGAGGCAGGCAGGGGCTGAGTCTCACCAGCCCTGTAAGCCACATTAAGGATCTAAACCTTCTGAGATCAATGGATGTGATAGGTCAGTTCTCAGCTGAAACATAAAGTGAGCTGTGTGTGCCATTATTAAACTTTCTAATAGCCATATTTATAAAAAGAAAAAAGCAGATGAAATATTTGTAATGTATACTATTTAACTCAGGATAACCAAACTGTTGTCATTTCTTCCTACAACACATACAAAAATTATGGAAATGCTTTACATTCTTTTTTTCATGCTCCATCTTTGAAATTTGGAAAAAAAGAAAAAATGTGAAAAAGAAAAACAAAGAAATTTAGGTGTGTCTTAGATGTACAGCCCGTCTCCACTCAGACTGCTATGTCACCATGCTTGACAGCCACATGTGGCAGTGGCAGCTGTGCTGGCCCAGGTGGTCACAGAAGGAAGTGAGGGTGAGACTCACTGTGTAACAGAGGTACTAATAAAGTCCTAGCTGGTCATCAAGGAGCTGGGAACCAGTAAGCGACTGGTCAACTATGTGTTTCAAACACTAGGCTGGGACAGAAAGAGGCAGAGCATGATAAAGCACCTAAATCTTTTAGTTGCTTGCCAATCACTTGCATAAACCACCAATAATCATAGCTCACAATCAAAGATGTTTTTATCTTTACAATATAGCAACCATAGCCCAAGTTGTTCAATGTGCCAATATGATTGATGGTTTTTATCTGGTTATGTATTTTTTTTTATATATACTGTGAAATAGGAAGACCAGTTTCAAAGGGGAAGGGGAAGCAAGAAGGGGGATGGAGGAAAGGAAAGTAGGGACAGAAAAAGTGAGAAAAGAAGGAAACACAGAAACAAGGCTTTTGTAAATAGGGAGGGATGGAAGGTGGAAGGGAGGGAAGGGGAATGGGAAAGAATGGGAACCAGGGTATATCATGTGCAGGTGCAAATTCCCAATGATGAATGAGATAATAATGTATGCCTAAAACATACCAATAAACTTATGGGAGGAGAAAATTAAAAAACATCTAAAACTTAAGGATCAGTGGGTATAAATAATCCGTGAACTATGTACTGTGTTTCCCTAGAAATAAGACCTAACTGGAACAACTTGACTGGAACCAGTCCTAGCTGGTCATTACCATGGTGAGAGCCAGTGTCATACAGGAGATTATACCTCACTACTGTATTCTTTTGCTCTGTGGCTACTCTATGATGGCAGGTAAGGTGAGAATAAGCTGATTGAGGCTGGTTTTTCTTTGTCATTAGGTCTTATTTGGGGAAAAACATGGTAGTATATTTTAATTAACTGATGTAAATATATGTGAATTTCAAAGTAGAATTTTTTTGTATCAACTTGGACCACCACTGGTTCCATGTGCTTGTGATGTATATATGTATGTGAGTGTGTGAGAATTGTTCACAACTCAACTTTTTCTTTTCCTCCATTTTTCACAGGACATTAATTTTCTCCAGATTTTTGGGTGGCCTCCTAGATCCAGAAACGCTTTGCCTATAAAGCAAAAACATCTGTATGAAAACAAAACATGATTGTTGGACCCAAGGGCATGGAAAGATACAAGGGGAATCTGCCTCTTAGCAAATAACAACAGATCAGGAACTCTGCATTTTGATCCCGTCTCTAAAATTGACTTGCTACCCAAGTTTCTTATACTTTACTCTAAGAAGTGGTAAATTTGTCCAGAACACCAATGTGTTGGGAGTCACACCCATAATTATGTTATGTTTTACAGCAAAGGAAGGGAGACTTGCAGATGTAAATAAGGTCCCTAATAAGTTAGTTAAATGGACTGCACCCCACTGGGGCTGAGGCAAGAGGATTGCAGTTTCCAGCCTAGCCTGGGCAACTTAGCGTCTTACCAAGACCCTGTTTCAAAATTTTAAAAAGGGATGTGGATGTAGCTCAGTGTGAAGGCCCTAGGTTCAGTCTCCAGTATTAAGACTTTTTTTAAAAAAGGAAAGAAAGAAAACCGGTTTAGTACCATCCCCATTATTGCTGGATTTGATCTGTTTTAAAGATTTAATTCTCTATTATTTCTTGGGATGAAGAAATTTGCTGCCTCCTTTTTTTCCCCCTGTACTGAGGATCAAACCTAGGGCCTTGTACATGTTAGGCCACTGAGCTACATCCCCAAGTCCTGGTACTTCTTAAATGAAACAGTTCTCCTTTGAATTCTTATAGCTTCCTGGAACAGAAATTTTCCTGACTTGAGTGTGGCTTTGCTATTATTTGTTTGTTTAGCAGTGCTGGGGGTGGACCACAGGGCCTTGCACATGCTAGGCAAGCACTGTATGACTGGACTACAAGGTGGTGCACAGCCCCAGCCCCAATGATTTCCTGTCAAAGCTGCAAATGTTCTTTTTTTTTTAATTCTTTTATTGGTACATTGTAGGTATACAACACAATTACATTTCTCATTGGGAATTGTACCTTTACATAATACATCTTGGTT